AATTCCAAAAATCAGATTTTGAACAAATGCATTGTTGACGAAAAAAGGGGACGAGCGTGCTCGGTGAACCATCCTGTATAATGTATATGTATTTATAGAGGGTTTCGAGTTATATTATAATATTATTTTACCTAAATATATTTCACTTCAGATGAAAAACGTTTTTATGTGTTAAGTGTTTGCGTATAATGTACCTATATATAGGTACACCGATGAGAAGAAAAACATTTTGTTTTTTGCTCGTATTCACAAATGTTACGAATATTGAATAATAAATAAACGGAAACCCGACGACTATTGAAATGGCTACGACAAGACGTATTATTTGTAAGATACAGTTATGATAATATAACCATAGGTAGTATGGCACAGGGTGAGTCGTTTAATGAATGTACTTATGTGAGTAGACACACATAACATTTTCGAAAACTTTTTAGAGATATTTTCGATTCCGAGCAAGGCGACGAATCTAATGATTTTCCAATGATTTGTGTTTTCTTTTTTAATAATATTTTCTGTATACACGATAAGACGTATGGTCTGTCGAAATAATGTTTTGATTTTCAATTTCAGTGGTTTCTGATAATCAGTACTTTTGAGAGATTATAGTTTACCAGTGATTTTCAAAAGCTTTGAGATCAAAAAAAAAAAAAAAATTTAAGAAAAACCGAAATTCTTAAGCTAAACCACCTTTCGACAAAATCAATTTTATTTTTTTGTATTAACTCAAAAACGATAGGTAATTATAACTTGAAATCGTCACAAATGTTTATAATATTACCATTTATTATTATACCTACATGAAAAAATGTTCAAAATATTCCTGCCCTTTATTGAGCTATTCATAAGCAATAAATTTAGCGTTGAGACGACGTCTTATCTATACACAAATATTATTATCTGTTATATTATCTCATCTAGATAGTCATATTAATTCCGGTTCCATAAAACCGATAGCCAAATTTCCAATATCTCTTGTTTGGAAATGGCGTAGAGTTGCCAAATTTAGCGTTATATAATATTATCTGTATTTTCAATTATTATAATTACCTATATAATAAAAATGTTCATTAACAAAAACGACTTTATAATGCATAATATATATAACCCGGGGGATGAAGATAATGGCAATTTGCTTATTAATAAACTAAGTACAACATTAATGCAGAATTATTATTATTCAACTAGAGGTATATGATTATTTAAGCAACTTCCCTCAGATATTAAATTAATAAAGAATGCCTCTAATTTTAAATTAATTCTCCGTACTCTATATATGCGATTATTTGACTAATGTCCTTGTTATGTTATTACTATAATTATTATTGTTTATATTATTATGTTGCTATCGTATTGTCTATCACTATTATGCTATAAGACTAGTCTATTAATATTATTTTAAAAGCATGATTAATTTATTATTATTATATTTAGTAAAGGAATGTCGGTTACTATATGTAAAAATTAAATAACAATTTTTGTTTTTTAGTTACAAACTCCCTGCATGTTCTTGCCTAACCTATCAACTTGTAATACATGTAATTGCTTTGCATATATATATATATATATATATAGGCATGCATGTATATTTGAAATTAATAAATAAATAAAAAATTATAATATACCGAATACATTTTTTATCATTTGTATAGGTGCAAACGTTAATACTAAAGGCTCTGGATAAGGTAGTGCGCGATGAGTTGGCTGTCGGCGAAATGCCTCCGAGCGCCTGCACAAAAGCGTTCAAGCCCAGTTTTTCTTTTTAATCACCGGAAAACCTATTGTGTGATGATTTTCAGTTTTCGCTTATACCTACACGCGAGAGCCGCCTGCAGTTTTTCATTTCACGAATTTATCGTGCCACGAGATTTTCGCATTCGCCGGCAAGCGGGCTACGGCTTACACTCAAAATACTGAAATCGATAGGTAGAAGTGGCGAAAGTAATGAGATTAAAATGACAATATATAATTACGAATGGGCAATATCGACAACGGTTTTATATTATCGGAACACGAAATGAACGGACAATGTGCCCTGCAGGTATCCCGTTTTTTCACAAGTATATGGGACCTATATACACTCGTAGGTATAATATTATTTTGCATCATCATACAACATCAGACTCGACGTGAACTCGATTGTGATTTTATGACGATTAATATTCTACTCTGTATTATTATTATAATATATCAATAAATATATTTTATAGTTTTCAGGCGAAATCCGATGAGCAAATGACATGATTGTGACACGAGGCACAATATAGGGTTTAAAAAAATAGTATTGAACGCCTCTATACCTATATCCACACGAAAAACCAAAGAAATTTTAATTTTAATAAATTCTTTATTAATGTAAAAAATGGGGATGCCCGTGCTAAGTGATCTCTGTATATATTACTAACCGTCCGTAACCGACAGACCGTTTTAAGCTGTTACACAACAGTTGGGGGTGTGGTGGGTGTGTGTGTGTGTGTGTGTGTGTGTGTGTGTGTGTGTGATGTTGTATGTCACATCCGAGACCCTAAGTACGAGTACGGAAATGTCGTTTTGAACACGGTCCCGAAAACTCGACGACCACTAAACACGAACCGACGAGGTGGTATTGCGGTCACGACTATACTATACGACACTACACACGACCTGCAGCTGGTCACACGAATCACTCGTAGTACACTAATTGTATATTACACTGCAGTAGTAATATTATAACGTTGAAACAATAATATATCATAATTTTGAGTTCGACGAGTTTGATATTATATAATATCACATTGACGACATATTTTTCTATTAATATATCATTCGATGTTTCGACCGAACAACGCCGTTCCTCCCCACCGCGGCCGCCTTCGCATAAATTATCATTACTCGACAAAAAAGTTGAAGTTTGAGTTGTTATAGTCGTATATAAGTACTTACGATGTAAGTTCCGCATTTTGGCATTTTTCGAGTTATTTTTTTCAGCCTTATGGCGGGCTTTTAAAAATAACGTTTACGTAGAGCTCACTATAGCTCTGGTAACACATACATACTTCTGATATTCGTTGAATATAATATTTGGGATCACAGCCTTTTCCGTCTCGTGATTTACAATATCTACTCGCGATTCGTAAATGAGAACTAACCTGCGAGGACTACGATCGGGTTTCTAAAGTGGTTATTGTAGTTATTACAAACGACAACTCCAACCACCAAAACGAAACAATTCGATGTGTGTGACTGTCTGGAATCAATGCTAAAACTCTATAAGTAACTGTAACAATTTACTTACCTATGTGACTTGGAAACTCGTAAATTAACCTTGGACCAATTAAAACCTATTATACAGTTAACATAAAAAAAACTCTTAAAGTCCGCTGAAAACTTATAGTTCAAAGTACATCAAAGAGCATATAATCGATATTCGATGGTATATCGAATCGAATCTTCACCTGAAAATCTCATTGCAAGTCTGTGAAATAACCATCGTGTCACCATCGGGGCTCAAAAGAACCATTTTGATCACTTCAAAGTGTCACTGGAGACCGTTACTCGCTTCGTATTCTGATGCACACCATTCATTACTATATGGTCAAGAGAATGAGAAGTGGCCGCTGGCGATATGTTAACAACCTTTTTTTTCATCGAAAACGAGGGTACTAGAAACGTATACAACATCATTCTATACCTAATACGTTTGTACCTATTGGGTAATTATATCTAATTTTAATATTTCAAAATGGATGACGTACATATCAAAAGTTCTCTCGTCTTCTGATCTGACACGGTTCTCTGTATTCATGTGGAAAACAATATTTACAAAATTAAATATTTACCAATTTATCATCTCCAATCGGTGTGGTATAGCCGAGTTATAATAATCTGTAAACGTTGGAAAAAAATTGAATAATAACTCGTAATATTTAGGTTATTCTTGAACAATTTTCATTAATTATATTGATTTATTAAACATTTTAAACCATATAATGTGATCGATTATATTGTATTTTAAAATTTATAATTATGAGAAATTAAAATAACCATTTTTTCATTAAATGAAAGTATATAATAATTATTTTATTATCCCACATTTGATTGGTTAATTTTTTAACTATATAATATTATTTTGAGCATGTGGTGATATATAAATCCAATTTCCTTTGTGAAAAAAATATACCGTAAACAATTTACCAAGCTCGTCTCTATACACATCATACGACGAAGTTTGAATTTGACATCAGTGTTTCAGTGGAGTACGAAAATTATGCACGACCATTCGACGAGACTGAGCCTTTTGTACGTATGAAATAACGGCGCTCATCATTCGTCGGGGTTTGGTATATCTTTTGTCCATAAAAATGATGTTTATTGTTGTTCTAATTCCAAGGATATATGACGGGAACGCGACAAAGGACGACAAAAAGTTTTCACAGGTGTTGATTTTCTTTTAATTAGGGATTTTTTTTATTTTTATTCATGATTTATACAAATTCATAAAACGTTTGTACTATACAAAAAAAAAAAAATAATAATAAAAAATACAATACAATACAATAATAATAATCATATAATTATTATAGATAAATTAAATTAAATCAAATTGATTAGGAGGAACTTGTTAGTCTGTTTGAAAATAATACTGACGATAATTGAACTTAATATGAAATGGAAATCGTACGGACAACGAAATCATACGATCGATAAAATATAATCGGTTTAAGTACATATAAAAATACAACCTATTCAATTTTACACAATTATTATTTATCCTTAACATTTTACTTTTCGTAAAAATACACAATATACATTATCTCAAAATGCAACACTAATATGGAAGCCTTTAGTGCGATAATAATAATAATAATAATAAAAGTCAATGCTATGATAGAACTTAAAAAAAAAAAAAACATTTACACCTTTTTGTGCTTTGAAAAAAATAAAAATAAATTAAAACAGACTTTAGAAGAAGTGGAAAATAAAAGTCCAGAAGTGTATCCAAAAACTGAGAATACAGCACATTACGATGCAGTCCTGAAAAATAAAAATAAATAAACTATATTAATAATTCATTAAATTCATATAGTTTTCTATTTGGCCATGTTTGTTTTAAAAACTTTACAAAACTACTCTAGTAAAATATTATGCAATTGGAAATAGTTTTGAAGTTTGTTGTATAATATTTATAGAGCGAAAAAAATCTTTACAAATATTCCAAAGAAATAAGGGTTAGGTATATATAATAGCAGTCTTTCTACGATAATCGAGAAGTATAATATTGTATTAAATGATCCTTGACTCGCAATCTTAAATTGACGTACAGAAGTCAACGATACTATTATATTATAACGGCAAAGTTTAAATGATAACAATTTACATTTCGGTACAATATTTAAGTATTTTGGACGATTTCAGTGCAAAACAGACGAAATCGCAAAAGCCTAAACTTATGAGTACCACAAAACTTATGTCGATTTCGAGTATATTATATTATTGTTAAAAACGTGAAATCCATAGAACGAGGAGGATGGATTTTTCTAAATTACAATTTTATTGTATACGTCTCTTTTAATAATTGTCGTTGTCGGACGTCGTTGTGTCAAAAACAAGACGGCGAAAAAAAAACAATACGAATTCAACTCATAATAATATTGTTAATTTGAAATGAGTTTATCCATTAGAGGGGCGGTTTTGACTCTGTGCTTAATTATGATTTTATCTGACGGAGCGGTTATAATAATAATAATAAAAAAAAAACCAAACGTACTTGAGGGTTTTGTAGTGTTCTTTTTCCACGCTGTTGTCTGGCGGTTCGCGTTCGAATGACAATAATGTGAGCGCTGCGATAAACAAAAACGAAAATAATAAGAACGAAATTAAAAACGGCAATTTCTATGATTAAAAAAAAAAAAAACGAGCAAGCAAACAAACTAAATTAACCTTTCTCGTTGAGCACCGGCGTGGTGAGGAGGAACAACACAAGATTGGCGTTCTTCTCGTACGGGCAAGCCGCCTGTTTCCACGTAATGAACTCCGTCACCTGCTTGGCCAGTTGCCAAAACTTCTCGAAATTTATGTGGCCGTTGTCGAGCCTGGGGAAAAAAAATCGTAATTCGTTTCGAGCGTAATAATATTATTATCATAATATACCAAATTATATACGCAATCATACGCAGCGATCGGAAAAGCGTTCGATCGGCACAGGCGCAATAATAATAATTATTACAGCCAATCGCCGCGATAGGGCACGAAGTCGTTATCCCCCCCCCCCTTTCCGCGGTGTAGAGGTAGATTTCAATAATAACAAAGGTTCTCGTTTATAGTTGTCGCAGCGTGTAGTCGAAACGGAACAACTTGTAGTAATTGAAACATTTTGAACGCTAAGCGGAACGGTAAATTGTACTTTGCGCTGTAAAGCGTCGACGTCTTGGGTTTGTCGGAGGTAGGACTATACATTTATTAGCATATTATATCTATAATGCGAGTAACGATCGTATAGACTTGAAACGATTGGATACAGCTGGAAACGGCATAGGTACCGTTCAAAGAATGGAGATACAGTGAAATGTATAGCATATAGTACACATTGAAAGTAAACTATTGTTCGAGGGGATCGGCGGCAGACAGTTTTTAAGGATCTACATAGGCAATTTTAATGTAAATGTGTCAGTAATAAGACGTGATCATTAGTGTGTGTGTGTGTGTGTGTGACTGTAGAAATAGCGGAGCGCCCCCACACACGCAAGTACAAGTATTTATTCATTTGTATGTACATTTTGTCCATCCTACCTAATAATGCGATATTATTACTGATCTGAATTCGTTGTATTGTCCACTTGAGATTGATCAGTCCACATTTTAAGATTCCTGATAAAAATTGCGAAATTTCAAAATATTCAAACTAAATTTATAGTTGATGGGTAAATTGGGAAAAGTGGACTGGCCGATCTTAAGGAGGCACAATAGCGAATTGAAATCAGTTTTAAAAAGTATTATCGTGTTGCTATTTCAATTAGTATAGTGGACGAAAGATTGGTATGTTTTGGCTAAAATAACTGTTCGCCATTAATCCCTTTAACTACAGCATTAAAGATGGTCCAGGTCCGACTACGTATGAACAATTTATTACCAAAACAATAATATATTATCGCGTCTAGTAGATTTAATTATGTAATAGATATAAATATTAATTATAAAATCTAATAGGTAATAATACGAAATATATTTTCATTTTTTTACATTTCATATGCCTTAGCATACGACCAATTACAAAAGTTCTTCTTCTTAGTACTATTATTATTATTATTTACGGTATAAACTTTAAAGTTTATAAAAACATAAATTTAAATTTAATGAATACGTTATCCCTCAACTTATTTTGTTGATTTATATCAATTTGGAAATCCCAAATAATAATGAAATGAGATAAAATATTTAATATATTTTTGTTCTTTCAGGTCATAAAAATAGCAAACTCGACTAAACCACTCATAATATTAGGTATATAAAATACGTTGTTTGATATCTATTTTGCATAATCTGTATATATATATATACAGAGAGTAACCCAAATAACTGAAAATATAAATTATTAGGTTTACCTCATAACTTACATTTAATAATGTACTTTTAAGTAAATACATTATTTATAGGTATATTAGAATTATTAATAACAATATATTAATAGCACACCTATTATTAGGGCTAGGCATTTAATTCCTACAAAATATTATTTAAAAATGCATTTTTAATATAAAATCAATTCAGTATAAAATGCGCTAAAAATAACATGGAAAGACAAAATTATCAAAAAATGTATAAACAAATGTTTGATAATTTATTGAATTATTGATGGGTAGTTAAAACTTTGTGCTAAGAAAGGTATACGACAGGCTAAAAACAAAGTATTTCTCTACAAATTCACAGCCATACTAATGATAATATAATCACCTGTTTCGGCATCCTTCGTTCAGGAAGTAAATGTCTTTGACGAGTAACGAAAAGAACGGTATGACGACCCTCTGTCGCTGATCTGTGGCTCCGGCGCTTCTCCATAGGGCCGCCTTAAGCGTCGACCGGTAGCTGCTAAAATTGGACGACGGGTCCATGTACTGTTCTAGTATGGTAAACTTGGCGGACTGTTGTACCTTGTGCCACTAAATGGGTCGAAACGAAAAAAAAATTCAAACATTTTACACAATTTTAACGAGTCGCGATCGTACGACCAATAGTATAATATCAATGATTTTTATTACCGTCTTTTTGAGCCTGCTTATCGGCGACATGTTTAGCCCTGCGATGATGGCCATAAGTGAATTGAAGTTGCCCACGTTGAAACACTCCCGGGCAGTCTCGATCCAGAATTCGATAGTCTTGACGCGCTGCTTTTTTTTCGAATGCTGAAACACGAGAACGGTGGCACGAATATGTCAAAGACGATCATAATAAGTATTTTTTAATGACGATTGACTTGAACGGTACACGAATAAAACAATTAAACAGTCGCGAGCTTACCTTGCATATTTCCGAGGCCACTAGGTAGCTGAGTCGATTGAACCAGTGGACGTACGACTCGAGATTTTTGGTCTTCTTCATGTCTTTGAACGACGAATCGATATGCGGACTGTCCTTGGCGAACGCCTGAACGAACTCTTCAGGGCCTATGAACGACAGCCTCTCGAGTTCGACGAGAGTAAGTTGTTGTCCCAGCAAAGAAGCACTGGAACACACCTCCATCGTGTCCGTCTGCAATCACATTACAAAAATGAAGCGTAAACAAATAAATAATAATAACAATAAATACAGATGCGATGACAGCGAGCGCAAACCGACTGCCGGCAGACGCAAACACCATACGTATAAAATTTGGTTGAGGGTGGGAGGTAGGTTGTATGTAATTTATCAGGTTTTTCTGAGAGGTCAAGATGGAGGGCGAGAAGACGACGACCAGACGACGATTCTTCGAGTGTTACATTTGCACTGCAGAACATATATATTATATTACTATCGTCATTATCACCGTAATATTCAGTTATATACTGGGCAAGTCTGACATGCTCCAAAAATGGTAATGATATTATACATCGATGTGAGCTGGATAGTTAATTTTTCATTACAGCGCATGCGCGCGACGTGGGAATTCCGACGGTGTGACGATCAGCTGCTGTCGTGTATTGCGCGGTTTTTTGCGCGTTTATAAAAAGCGCTTTTCGCAATGGCCGCGCCAGCAATCGACGATCGGCGGCGAATCGATCAGACGCAAGCAGTGCGAGAGGGAGAGAGTGGAATTTAGAAAAAGGTATACGTATATATATATATGTATACATTATACACAGAGAGGGAGAGAGACAGAGAGAAAAACAGAGAGGTATATAACGTAGAGAAAAAGAGTGTGGAAGAGTTTTTGGTGGTCGGGCGACGTCGCATAATACATCACCGTCAAACTTTTGTGCGTATAGCGGGACACGCATCACACACTGTTATAGATGAACACGTTCGCTGTGCATATACGAGAGTGTACCACCGCGGACGAAAATAAAACGAGAAAGAGAAAAATGAATAATGCCCAATCGGTCGCCGAGTACGCTATTTATATTGCGTTTTTCTTTTACTATTTATTTTTTTCTCGCTCTATGCGACGAGATTTATACTCCCGACGATAATATTTCCGACGTCCTCCACTTCCCCGGAACGTCGCCACCGACCGCGGTTGAGATGATTTTTTATTCGCTCACTTTTTTCCTCGCACCGGCCCCACAACTCGAGGAGAGGAATGAATCCATATTTAAAATTATGATAAATATGCACCCGCATAGTCTTCTGCATAAGACTCCCGGTGTAGGTCGTCGCCGTATACCAGCTACAATTGAACATACGCAGTAAGACGTGCAAAAACAACTCATCGCAATAATTAATAATTATAATTACACTCGAATAAGAGAGTAAATAATATTTCAAGTCGATATTGAAAATATTATGCGTAGAATATTCCTCGTCGGGGTCGTCAAACGATCCGTATGGTGTTTCAGAAAAAGCTACGGATGTCGAGTATTCGATCGATTAGCATGCTGTACTAGGTTCGTAAAAGGTATTCGAAAATCGGCGCCGAGACGACTAAATAATATATCATTATAAAATGTACACCGTAGGTTCGATTTGATGGAGAAAAATCGCGTAAACGAGCTCGGATATCGGTCCGCCGGGGACGCACGAATGCGATAAGAATTATCGCACACACGTGGAAAATAATTTTTTTTAAGCAACGAGAAAACGGTTCCGGTAAAAATTCGATACGTATTATATTATCATGTATACGAACATCGTAATAATAATGATAGTCTTATGCGAAACGTCTGCGATAAATTATATTGTAAATTGTCACGGGAGACGTTATGAATAAGGTCGGTGTACTTAAAAGTTGGAGGAAATGTTATACGTTTTCTCATTTCAGAGTTCTTGTAGCTATGTATAATAAATAATATACATATAATTTCGGGTTCGATATAAAAGGTTAATTCATGTAGGTACACATTTCCCCGGGGCGAGTCTCATATATTAAAAAAAGAATATTAAAATTATGCATACGATCTGCTGCGTCCGCTCGCAAGAACGATATGCGTGAATTCGCTGGATAAAAATGACACGTGTCAATTATTATTATTCCAATATGTCCTCGCGTGTATATATTTTATATCATAACCGTCAACATAAATACAATATATAATATGAGCGTTCGTTAATACCGAAAAAAAATAAAAACTCGTCAATTATAATGTTCGACTGTTTATGGCACTATCGGCACTATTGGATATCCCGAAATGTTGAGAAAATATTGCGCAATTCGGTGAGACGTCGTGTTGACGAGGCGTTCTATTTTCGAAAAAAAAAAAAAACACTAACTATTGCGATATTCGCGGTATTCCTTCCTAGAGGAGCGGCGTGAATTGCGTTTTTTTTACAAAAAATATTATTTACGTCGTCTGTGCGATTTTTTGTAAAATATACACAGTTTGGAAACTTAAACAAGCCCCCGGACCAGACGCCGATCATAAATTAGGTCAAAACCATATAAATAAACACAAAAAATAAAACCGTCTTACACAACAAACCGCAAAATATATCCATGACAACGCCGACTTGGATATACTCGATGAGCTCATTGGACTAGGTTTTTTAGTTTTTCGTGCCAACGTTTGTACCACTATCGGGATTGATAAAGACGTTATCAGACGTTAGAATTATTAAATTGTCGTTATGCGTTATTACTTCAATAATAGACAATCTACGATAAGACGGCGCCTTGTATAGGCAATTCAGCTACACTAGGGTCCTTTTTTCCGATCAAGGATTGACCGATCCTTAGAATACATAATAATATTATTATGCACCTGTGTACTGTGGCTGTTATTTAAAAATGCACCACTAAACTTTCATCCGAAGCCTTTGCAGTTTGTTAACGATCGGCCAACGAGACTTCGAACGTCGTTCAAACTATACACACTCAAATCGAAAGTTAGTATTATGATAGTTCTTGTATTATAAATAGTATTCATCAAGGATGTTAGATAGTATTATTAAAACTAAACGAAAAGACATACAATATACAGTTCAGAATAAACACGGATTGTAATATTATATGCAGTTGTGTACGGTGTGCCGGTGTGGTTGTGTAAAAATAAAAATGTTTTCTTTATTCAAAACTATATCCAAATATTTACTTATAATAAGTGAATTAAATTAGTATCTACTAACTTAGGCTAATATTACATTAAAAACGAAATATTTTGTGAAAAAAAAATCAACAAGTAATTAATTGGATACGAAAGTCATCAATCGAATATGTAGAATGTATTCTGTTTGACGAAAGTTGTAAGTTTCTGCGTTTCGTTAACTTTCAATTAAGACTTCGGATAGTTTTACAATTCCAATCATATAATATTTGTGAACAAATTTATCAGTTATAGACATGTTTCCTTCAGAGAAATGTTTACAGAAAATGTTCTACGAAGTGTGAAATCAAAAGAATATTAAAGTTTTCGGATATGCCATAGTATACGTATTTTGATAATTTACTCACTTTTAAAATAACAAAAATAAAATAATTTTTGAGTAGGTAATTAAGTATTATTATTACCCGAAACTTCCAAATATATAATAATTAATATGTTAAAATATCATTCAATATATTATATTAACTTAATTTATGTTTGTATTAGCCGGTTTATAAGTAGTTACCTATACTACAATTTCATATTTTAATGCCATGATCTCAATACTTTCAATATTTTTAACGACTTTTAACTAGAAATTAAACTCATACAAACAATGGAAGTTATTTATACTACAATTCTAGGTACTTTACCACGCAAGCTGCAGATAACAAGGTTATAAAACTGCGTATAAATATAACATTATGGATTTAAGGTGTTTTATTCATAAATAAATTAACCATGTTTCAATGTACTATGTAAGTTAAGTTATAAAAACACATTTTTTAAATACTAAGTCACTCTAATACTTATTTGTTACCTATTTCGATATTATACATTGCGAATGAACATAACAATACTATACACGAATAAGACTTGTAATAATAAATTTATGGACAGAAAAATAATACTATGTTGGTTTTTAATATAAATATTTTTCGCAAAATTCATTTATTAATACGATTAAATAATATTGTATTATAATTTATAATTTGACAGATTTAACATGAAAATTGAATCGGAAAATCATGTTTAATAAAGAGAATTAAGTTAAAAACTTTTATTAAGTTATCAACTATATTAAATTAAGAAACGTTTCCCGGTACCTATGTATAGCATAAAGTTTATGTCAGATACAAGGTTAATAACTGAATCATTATGGTACTGAAACCAAAATAAATACCAACTAAGATTGATAATATTATATATTGCTATGAGTGCGGCAGGCGTCCCTTATTATATCAAAAGAATATAAAAATGTCAAAGAAACACAACCTAGGTACATTCCAGGAACCGGACTTATTACTCGCCTACTCGTTTCCTTCTACTACCTGCAAAAATCGGAAAACGTAATAAAAGTATATGGCGTATTGATATTATTACAGACAGTAAATCGTTAAAAGACAAAGTAACCGTGTAGCACTATATTATATTATTTATTATATACAGTTTTAGAACAAAACTTCAAAAGGATATAAGCAATTTTATTCTTCGAACAGTCAACTAAGTTCAGCTTATAGTATTCAAAATATTGGACAAACAAATACATCGAGTGTACCCATTTAACATTATATTATTATGTTATTTCGAAATTGTATAGATTATGTTTTCCGGAACTATGTCTCGGTGCGTCCCGGATGAAAGTCTTAGGGTATATTATTATTATTACGTACAGGACCCCGAACGACTGTCAAGATAACTCACCAATAATCGATTTGTATGTTATTATTTTTGGCACCTATTTCGAGTAGGTACGTAAAGAAAAACCGGAGAAAACCCATTAATATGTTATAACGTTTAAAAAGTTTCTGCCGAGAACTACGAAATAATACAATAGCCTTTAACAGACGCAATACCCAATATCGAAATAATATAAATATAAATAATAATAATCTAATTTAATTGTTGGGCAAATTTAGTGTGCACATTGCGATACCAAACATTATGTTATGTACACATAATTACCAATATTATTGTTTACTCGGTTTTCGAGCAGCGCTTCTGCGTTATAACGACGCCGTAGTGTCC